AGCGCGCTCGAACCGCTCCGGCAGACGCGCTATATTTCTTCTCTTTTCTACTGTGACTCGATACACATTCGGCTCCGGCTCTATAGGCATAGACAGATAGAAAACGATAGATAAAAATGATAGATAGATAGTACATAGATAGATAGTACATAGATAGATAAAAATGATACATAGATAGTGCGTTCATAGCCTCCTCCTATGATAGATAAAACGATAGATAAAAAAACTACTCCTCGTCGTCCTCATCCTGCGACTCGGACTCCGACTTGGTGATGTCCTCCTCCGACGTCTGAATGAAGACGTCAAGATACCGATCGTCCTCGGAGTCCCAGGACAACGCTGCTCCTAGCTCGATGCTGAAGAACACGACCTGCTTCCGCATACGCCTGTCCTCGCGATAGGCGGCTCGCTCCGCCCTCCTCTCCTCCCTCTCCGCCATCCTTTGCGTGAAGAACTGCTGCTTGTTGATGACGTCCTGCGGGAAGCATTGGCGCCACAGCTCCATGGCTTCCTCGTCCATCTCGGCGAGGCTGAGACGGCGCTCCCGCCTCCGGTTCTCGCGATGATCCTCATCAGTGATAAGCCGCGGGGGAGGCACCAACTCCCGCGTCAGCACCTCTGGGAAGTTCATGTCCCTACGGGACCGCCAGAGGTGCCACGCCGCCGCGTCGTATGCGTGGGTGAACTCGTGGGCGGTGTCAAAGGTGCCGAGGCCGAGGCAAATGTCGCCGGACCGAATCTCGGCCGAGAAGGAGCCGGAGGAGCGCGGGCAGATGCCGCGGTAGCCCGAAACTCCCCAGCGGGGCGGCGCGATGGTGGCGTGTCAGCGATGAGGCGAGGAAGCGGCAGAGGGCGTGTGGCGAGGTGGAGAGCGATGGGAGGGCGCTTGGCGGGCACTGCATTTTATAGGCGCGCCGGATGCCGTGCGCCAAAACTAGTGCGCGCCCTGCCGCCTTTTCGCGCGCGCGCGTGATCTTTTCCCGCGCGCCTGAGTTTCCCGTCGCCGCTGGAGTGCGTGAAACCGCCCCGCGCACACTAACGTCGCCTTTTACCACGCGCGCGCATTTTTTGCAGCCAGTGTTGGAGGTTTTGTGTCCTGTTTAGAAAGACGAGACTGCGGCGGCTCTCTGAAGATGGAATAAATGTCTCCCCACCTAGCACCCGTTCCGACGGTCCTTCTAGCATCGTTGGTGGGCACTTCAAGCACTGGTTAGCACTTCACGCAGCAGGACATGAGGTACTGTGTTTGACTCCAGTTAGCTGCATGTGTGTGTAATTTTATTTTTCTATTTATTCTTTCCTCGGTCACAAGTGGAACCCACACATCAGAGAGCGGGGCAGCGAACTGCCACGCAGACTTACTTAACAGAGAGTTGACGGAAATGTATGGATTTGTACCTCAAACGCAAGTTGTAGGGGTAATTTGTGTCATTTTACAACTTTATGTATGAATTTGTACTCGCTGCGCAAGTTTCTGTACTAAAATGTAATTAACTCTTTTTTATTCATAGAATTTTTTTTTTGTTCATGAGAGAGGCGGGGACGTCGAGGAAGTTGTGTTTACGGTTAGGGTCGTCGAGGAAGAAGGAAAATAAGGAAAAAGAATAAAAGAGGAAGAAGGAAGAAGGAGAAGAAGAAGGAGAAGAAGAGGAGAAAAAAATAAGAAGAGGAAGTAGAAGAAAAAAAAAGTATTCCTTCTTCTTCTCAAAAAGAACTGTGATTGGAGGTGACCCGTGACCAGCAATAATGTCCAACACGTCCAGTAATTATTTCGCAAAAAAAAAAAAACCACATCCAATAAGTAAGGTTTTATTTCCAAGGCCTCGAGATTCGCCGCCCTGCAACAAGAAGAACGAACGAAGAATAAGGAAGAAGAAGAACATGGGAGAGGATAAAAGTAAAGGTAAAAGGTGATAGATGAATTGATCGATTGTGTGTTGTTCAATCGGCATCACCTCTTATTTATTTATGAGGCGGTTGGACTTCCCCTACAAGAAAAGGACTCCAAATCTTTCCAAAATTAACCGAACTCGAATTTAGGTAACTCTGGGGCAGCAGTTCGGTTTTTAGGTCCCACAGGCCACAAACAACCTCGGATGAAGTTGAGCCCAAAAGCAAATTTTACCCATGTTGAACTTTTTTTATCAGAGACAATCTTAAGGGGGTTTTCATCTGTTTGAAGTCTGCGGCCAGTAAAATCCAAAACCCGGAAAAACAACCCCTGAGTGTCCGGTCGTCCTTGTTGGCGCCGCCTCCTCGCAGCGCCACTTCTTCTTCCTCTCCTCTCAACTCTCCCTTGAGTTTATCTCTACTTCTCTCAAGAACACACAATGGAGAAGAACTCACACGTACAGAAAACACACACGACACACACACACACACACACACACACACTTCACCAAGGAGAGGAAAGGCTTTGCTTCTTCCCCCGGTGAGAACACATGTGCTACATGGTTTTTCCTTCAGCCCTCTCAGCCTTTTTCATTACTCAATATGCAACACACATATATACATCAGGGACCAGCACTCAAGCCTCACAACTCACGCTGCCCACTATGCCATGACCACTTCTACCGTCCACTAACACAACTAAGTCTATCCAGCTAATCTCCTAGGTTCACTCTAGGCTCCCAAGGACTAGTACTACTAGCAACTAACATTTGCATGCAGCGCACTGCGCACAACCCATGCATGCACGTCCATACGACCAGAACTTGTCGACTCACTCGACCCAACCTGATCATACATATATGCAGCCCATCACGCTCCAGCAACCATCGCGTCGTGCCGTATCTCACGGCCTTGCCATATCGCACAGCAACATCGACATCTTGTCGTGCTCGCCGCGTCGCATGGCAGCCTGACATCTCATCTTCTTTGCGCGCCTGCATGAAGCTTCACCGGACTAGCTACTCTCTAACCTATCCTACATGCATGGCAAAAGTAAACTAAATATGTAGGTACATGCATCAAGATTAAAGCTAACAGTCCTCAGAGAAATCCAAAATCCGGATGATCATTCCCGGAGTGTCCGGCCATCGCCGTGCATTTTCGGCTCTAACTTTTGCATATGAACTCCGATTGAGATGCTTTTTATATTAAAATCAACCGCTTCGACGAGAGCACAATTTTCATGTTGAAACTTTTTCCATTTGAGGCCATCTCAATTGGGTTTCAAGCCATTCTTTAATCTGGTGTCAATACGAGCGTCTCTGAACTTGTCATAACTTTTGCACCCGATCTCCGTATTAGACCATCTTCATATCCATCTTGATCTTCTCGAAGAGAGCCATCTCATGGTGAATTTCAATAATAGGTTTGAATTAATCTTGACATAGCTTGAAGCTACTCTTTATAATCGTGCCACTTTTGAGCGTCAACAGTTGTTTGTTTCCTCCTCATCTACAGCTGCCGATAAACAGTACATTAAAAAATAGTAAGAAATTCAGTGAAATCTGAAATTTTAAGGTCTCTAATATACTCAGGTGCGCTAGGTGCATGAAAATATTCGTGGTCAATTGACATCCGAGGAGCTCTTGGCAAAATAATATCAAAAATTTGACTGTAAAAGAAAATTTGAAAGAAAGCACTATGCAGGCCCAATCTTGTTCTTCTGCCATGACCTCCTCAGTTGTCATTTGACCATGGAAATTGGCACAGTCCCAGCGCACTTGAGAATCTTGGATGCCCTAAGAATTTCTTTTTTTTTTTACGATTTTCTCGAATTTACTATTCAATTAGAGTAGATGAGCCTAGGCTCATCTCTGAATTGCACATATAATCGAAGATAGATAGATAGATGCAACTTCTTCATAATACATCTTATTAATACAACAAGTGATCAACTATATATATGGAAATGAAGCAAGCAACGACAAGGGAGGGATTATTGACCAAGCATGCATTGCGTGTAACGGGGAGCATGCATGTAATTTATTCGAGCAATCGACCAAGCATGCATTGCATGTAACGGAGAGCAGGGCCTGTAACTTATTCGAGCAATCGACCAAGCATGCATTGCATGTAACGGAGAGCATGCATGTAACTTATTCGAGCAATCGACGACGACACGTGAGGTCCGGAGGCGGCCTAGCCCTAGCCGATGTAGTACATGGGGTCGGGCAGCTTAAAGGTGCGGGCGCCCTCTGGCGTGCCGAGGATGTCGCTCCACTGGTCACCGATGTTGCCGACGATGACATACCCGGCATCCAACAACTTCTGTCTCTCACCGGACTTGAAGGTCACCGCGGAGCCCTTGAACTCTGCTGGCTTCAGCAGCACCGCCATCGACCCAGAGAAACCCTGCCGGCGGAGGTTTGTGATAGTGGCGGTCCTCTGGGCCTCTCTTCGGCCGGTGAGGATCACAGGCTTGATGCCCACCGAGAGCAACTTGTTGTACAGCCGCTTCGTCTCCGGCAGGGCAGGTGCGCTCGCCTGCCGCGCGTACTCTTGGAAGCTCGTCCAGTTGTACGGCGTAGCCCTGTTACAACATCAACCATGCAAGTCAGCTAGATCATCTTTTCATAAGGACGGTTATGAAATACAAAATCCATTGATAAAGTAGCTATCACATCACTATCTCCGTGCAGTCCTCTTGTTTAGCTCGTCACTCACAGGGCATGCATGTATATGGTCCTTCTGGCCGTCTCCGGGGCTGTGATTGGAGGTGACCCGTGACCAGCAATAATGTCCGACACGTCCAGTAATTATTTCGCAAAAAAAAAAACACGTCCAGTAATTAAGGTTTTATTTCCACTTATGGTCTCATTTGTTTTTTCACTTGTATTCATTGGAGATGTTACTTATGTTATTACAGTTATGGTTTTAGCGGCGGTTCTAGCTAGCTAGTGAGTTGATGGTTTTAACAAGTTCTAGTCAGATTTCTACTTCGTCTGAACGACAAGATGAGTGCAACAAGTCTCTGCTCAGATATATCGACCTGCAATAAATCGCAAGTATAATGTGCACGTACGTACGCATCTATAGAAAATATGTGTATACTATATAGGCATGTACCCGAAGCCGTGAGTGGCGTAGTAGGGGAGGTTGGAGAGCGTGGTCTCGTCAACGTCGAAGACCCACACCTCCTTGCCGTTGCCGGCGAGCTTCAGGCTCTCGACGTAGGAGATGGCCTGGTCGATTACAACCTTGGAATCGCGGCGGTAGTGACCGCCGAGCATGTAGTGCCCGACGTAGCCCTCGCAGCTGGCGGGGACCGTCTTCCAGTCACGCACGTTGTGCGCCTCCACACCCAGCCGCCAGCTGTCGCATGCCACGCCGGCGCGGCTCCCCAGCTGCCCGCCCGAGCCCAGCAGCGGCCGCAGCGCATGGATCAGCGGCGCCACGGCCTCATCCATGGCGGTGACTGTGGCAACTGACGTCGGCATGTGCATGTTAGTCTCCCATGCGCCGCTGGAGGCCACAAGAAGAGCCACGACAGCGAGCAGGAGCAGCATCTTCGTTGCCATTGCCATTTCTACTTGTTGGTGCTTCCTGAGGAGCGGTGCTATACAGAGAGTGTGGGGTGGCTAGCTCGTTATATAGGAAGGGAAAAGCTACATCAATCCTACAGTACAGTGTGTGTGACCGTGAGTTTTTTTCTTTTTTTTGAGAAAGAGGAGAAAAATCCCGGCTTCCACATCTATATGGATGCACATAGCCATCAATGACAATGACTGTGAGCTTGAAAGAAATTAAGTGACAAAAGAGGTGGCCGGTGTCACTAGCACGGTCGCATTCACAGCATGGAACACGTTGGTCTTGAGGAGACATTTTTTGTAGGATTACACCTGGCAATTTCCATTGGTCAGTTAGGAACTTGGGATAAGATGGTTATGAGCCAATAATAATTCAGCTAACATACGACGAAGTATGTGGTTGGTGTCAGTGATGGATATGATCCAACCATTCAACAAATGCTTTCGATTGGTCTGTTGGTGTCAATGATGGGGCATGGAACAGGTTCTGTGATACTTGTGGAAGGATTACATGTATGTGGTTGTGTTTGGAGGTGGTAGATGTGTTGGATATGTGAGAAAATTTTACTTACGGCGGATTCAAGAGGGCAAAAATACTCAATGGTTGGCATGTGGTCAGGTTGGTGTGGCGCACGATGCATCTACATCCTAATTATTTTGAATTGATTGTGACTCTGTCCCCCATTGTTTTTTCCGATTCCGGCTTTTTCTGATAGGTGTGGAAAATCAGGTTTCCAAAAAATCTAGGAGAATGCCGGATTTTTTACGTTTGAGTTATCCAAAAGAATTTTGGATTTAAAAAAAGTATAGCGTCAAAATATATTATATTTAACCCATTGTACATATTTTCCGTGCTTCACCCTATGCTGGTTATGCAGATTTTCCACTCATATTTGTTATGAACTGCAAGTAGTAAACAGATAGCCGGTCTAAGCCACCCATCCATTCACAGAATTAAGAGTGGTATAGGGGGTGTTGATGTCAGTTTTTATGGAGCCTGGAACACGTTATGTGATGTGATATTTGTGGTAGGATTACATGTAAGTGGCTGTCTTTGGAGGTGGTAGATGTGTTGGATATATGAGCAAATTTGAACATAGGAAACATTCAACATGGCAACAATACTCTTTGCAGGAAAAAAAAACAATACTCAATGCTTGGCGTGCGGCCATCGTTGGACTAGCGCATGATGCATCGACATCCTAATAATTAAGAATTGAATGTGACACTAACCCTCCCCCCTGCCCAATGGTTTTTTATTCTGCCTTTTTCCAATAGGGGTGGAAAATTCGGTTTCCAACAAATCTCAGAGAATTCCGAATTTTTTATACGTATGAGTTATCTAGATGAATTTTGAGTTTAAAAAATTATGGTCAAAATATATTATATTTAAACCATTGTACATTTTTTCCATGCTTCACCATGCGCTGGCAACGCAGATTCGCATTCATATTCTTATGAACTGCGAGTAGTATCAGAGAGCACGCCTAAGTCACCCATCCACTCACAGAATTAAAAGTGGTATAGGGTGTATTGATGTTAATCTTGATGGGGCCGGGAACACGTTATGTGATGTGATATTTCTGGTAGGATTAAATTTATGTGGCTGTGTTTGGAGGTGCTAGATGTGTTGTATATATGAGAAAAATTTAATCTAGGAAATATTCAACATGGCAATAATACTCAAAGTTTGGCATGTGGTCACGGTGGGAGTGGTGCATGATGCATCGACATCCTAATATTATGACTAGATTGTGACTCTGTCCGCCCCTCCCCCCTACCATGATTTTTTTTGTTTTCGTCTTTTTTCACATAGGGGCAAACTTGGGTTCCAAAAAATCTATTCTGGATTTTATTCGCTGTGAATTTTGAAACAAAATTTGAATTAAACAATTGCGTCAAAATATATGATATTTAACCAATTGTGTACAACATGCATGGTTAGAGCATGTGCAACCTACCCGGCCCCCTCCCCCACCCGTCATGGTTGGAGTGCCAGACGATGCATCCACATCCTCATTATTAAGACTTTGATTATGACTCCGCCCCTCCCCCCGGCGCCAATGTTTTCCTTTTTTTTCAGCATTTTCCGGCAGGGGCGGAAAACCTGATTTAAAAAATTAGGGATTCCAGATTTTTTTCTTCTATTTTCTCCAAAAAATTGAATTTAAATTTTTAATGGCTTGATATTTAACCCGTTGTGTACAACACGTACGGTTAGAGCATCTACAGCCAAACCATCCATACCCGCCCAAACGCACGGGTTGGTTGCCTGATCACTGCCTGGATGAAAAAACGCACCCAGCCGTGTTCCCCACAACAAGCCCAAACGCTCAGGCTGTCCAGCAGCCTCCATATTGAGCCCATAAGTGGGGCGGATATGGAGAGGCCTGGATGCGCCCGGGCACCGCCGCCACATTGGATCTGGCCGCTATGGAGCATGCAGCCCCCACCACCATTCCCCACAAAAAATTGTATTCGACTCCGGCAGTGATGCGCCCCTCCATCTCCTCCCCTCCTCTCCCAATCTCTCGGTTCCCTCCGGCATGGCCGGCCACAACTCCGGCAACGTAGTGAAGGAGGACTACGGCTCCAGCAGTGATGCGACGGACGACGAGGAGCTCGCACTCCGTGTTACCTTCCAGCGGTCACGGCTAGACACCGGTGGGAGCTCGAGGTCCGTTGCGTCCGCTGCCAACTCCTCTAGGTCATGCCACCGCAATGCGAGCTACGCTCGCCTATCCCACGGTCGCCCGTCCGGCTCGGCACCGCTCCAAACCGGGAGGGAGTCCCCTTCCCCTTCCCCTCCAGCCCCAGCACGGCCCGGGTAGTGCTAGGGGCTCTTGCCTGTGGCCCCACGGATGCGCAAGACGGAGTCAGAGGCCAATGTTGCCAACCACGAAGGGCAGCGAGCCGCGGCCACGGCAGAGCTCAACACTTCAAGCTAACGCGCCTGCTCCTCTGCCCTCAACCTGGCGGAGGCATTCCTTTGTGCGATCATGCGCCGGTCGTTGACCACGATAGAGACGGGTGCCAAACGGCTCCGGTAAAAATTGTGAAGGCGCTCCGGCTCGGGCTCGAATCTTCGGAGTGCCTTGCGAGGAAAAAAACGGCATGGCCAAGGCGGCCTCCATGCGAATGAGCAAGCTCGCACCATCCGCCGCCTCTCCGGCTACGGGGAGCACTTAATATGAGGCAGCACCATGAACGACGACGATGGTGATCATCCCGCCGCGGATTTCTACATGAAGTAGATGGACTGTTGTGCCACCAACCGCTAAGGCAAGGGCACGGCCAAGAAGTGGTGATCTCGTCCTCTACAATGTCCTTTTAATCAATTGTTCGACGAGATTTTGTACTATATATAGTACAAAAATAATGGGAATAGATAATTCTAAAAAGAAAGAGTTGTCTTAATGATAATGTGCCACATGATATACATACATTTTTAACGCATGGAGCAAGGAGTGCCCTTGCACGTGTACATGCCATTAGATCGAAAGTGAGGGTTAATGGGCTATTGACCATATTGCATGTTCCATGCATACACGTGCATATGCATGACAAAACTACCTACGTGCGTGCTAGCACATGATCATGACTTGGTACAGCCAGTGCGTACGCGCGTGACCTGGCCGAGTTGTACGTGGTCCCAGGACCCGGTGTATATACAGTACATCAAATATGGTTACACCGGCCGGCCGCGTATGCATACGCGAGTATCTCAATACGCGTATGCCTGGCCCATGAACTCAGCTTCACACGTTTGGAGAGGAACTGGCAGGCCTACCAGCAGCCACGTGAACTAGGGGCGTATCAGGTAATTGGTTTTGTGTGCAGATTTGTACGTCAAGAAGAACCGCCCAAGAGAAAGAAGTCTGGGGGGAGACGCAACAGATTAAGTTTTTCCCCTGTCCTAGGGTTTCGGGTTCCTCCGGCGGCGCCCCCGCTGAGAGTTATCCATCCACGGCGGCGCGGCTGCCGTTCGATCGCACATCCCCTCCCACTTCAGCTCTCCCGTCTGGTTCTGTCCAAGGGGGTTGTGAGGCTGCGGGGGTCCTGTTTCTCCTTTGAGAGAGAGTTAGGTTGTGGAGTTGGGTCAGGATGGCATCTCAAGTTGGAGCAGGAGGATCAAGGCAATGTACTGAACCAGTCGAGGATTTGTTGGGACGATTGGAGTTACAGGAGGAGGAGGAGCAGTTCGTATGGGAAGAGGAGTTCCAGGAAGAGCAGATCGCGGCGAAGTGGTTGGCAATCGCAAAGGTACATACAGAGAAGGGGTTCAGCCCGTCAGCCTTGTATGCCGACATGAGAGCTGCATGGAACCCGGCTAGGGAACCACGCTGGCGCAAGATTGAAGATAATCTTTTTACAGTCCAATTCGGTTGTCTAGGTGATTGGAATACTGCCATGAATATGGGCCCCTGGCTATTCCGCGATCAAGGCCTCCTAATCGCGGAGTATGATGGATTTATGAATCCAAAATCCGTTGTTCTAGACAAGATAACGGTATGGGCTAGAATTCTGAAGCTACCAGATAACTATTTGATCCCGGCGGCCATCAGAGGGATGTGTAGGAAGATGGGCAAAGTAACTGAAATACAAACTACACTACCAACTGGTTTTGCAGGGGAATTTGTCCGAGTTAGAGTGGAGCTCAACGTGGCAAAGAAACTGATCAGATTCGTGGGTATCACGAAGAGCGAGATCACTGATTACTACCAAGTGCAATATGAGAAACTTCCTATCTTCTGTGGGAAGTGTGGCATGATGGGACATTGGTACCAGGAGTGTGGTACAGGAGAACATGATGTGTCGAAACTAGAATGGGGTGACTTCATGCTTGTGGATGGTGGAAGAGGCCGTGGTGCTGGCAGGGGCTATGGACGTGGAAGAGGAGCATCAACCCAAGAGGCTAACCCTTTTGGTTCAGGGCGAGGAAGAGGACAAGAACATTTTGGTACTGGAAGAGGAATGATGAACAGCTGGCGACACAA